AGTATCTAAGGTGCATTAATCAACATGTAGATGCACCCATTGTTACATACTTTGCCTGTTACTGCTTTTAGCTTAATCAAATCAGGCAAAAAATTATTTGTTGGTGTTTTATGAGCATTAAACCTTCAGCATTGCATAACTTTGTGGGAGCTAGGATGCTGTAACCATGTGTTGTTTTGGTTTTTTTGCCCCCTCCCCCCTCTCCCTTTTTTAGGCAGCCACTGCAGGAGGTGCTATTTATACATTAGAGGTTCCTAATCTAAATCAAGTGTCACGTATCACAGCATTTCAGAATTCTAAAATTGATATCTTTCTTTGTTCACCTGATAAGTTGTGGCTAGTTGCTGGATCTACTGAAAGTGCAGATGTATCTACCAAGGTACAGTATACTGTTCAATCTGCTTACACAACTGAGAAGTTAATTTAAAAAAAGAAAAAAAAATCTGGGTCTGTACAAGTTTGTTCTGTTTCTGATATATTCGTGACTTGTAACACACCAAGAGTGTAGAGGTTTTTTGGGTTTTTTTATCCAAATACTAAATATAAAAAATGTTTACCATGCTGCAAGTACATATGTGAAGTTGCTACTTAGGAGGTACATCTGGAAGTAGTAAGTAGTGAAAATTGGACTAACATAACTATCAAAGCAATTTCTGCAATAAGGGGAAACAGCTTGCCATATGTGTTCAGTATCTGATGCTCCTAGAAGTTACTGGCACAACTCTCCTTTTCCCCACAAACTGCAACGGAACTTATTTGTTAAGGCAACATTCGCCATTAACTTTTGAGTACGTTCTCCTCTGAGTGGCTGGGAAGCCTTGGTTTCCAGTCTGTGGCTTTGGCATTACTGCCATGTGGATACCCTCAGATTTGGAGACCAAGATCTTCCAGACTGGGGCAACTAGGTTCCTTGGCGATCCAGCCCTAGGAACTTCCCTGCATTTATCAGCTAACCTTTATGGCAGAAAGGGAGCTAGAATTCTGGAAGTTCTTATGGAGCCAGAACTAGGAGCTCCCAACTCCATCATGAGGCTGGCAAGACTTGCAACTCTCCATTAACACTGACATATTTTCTGATTTGGTTTTGCCACCAAATAAAGGCAAGGGTTTTAAAAATCCCACATTACTGCACCACAGCAGGCAGGTAGCTGAAGAACCTAAGCAGCACATTCTGTCTTGATAATACCAGATTCTGTGAAAGAAAATACATTATGTTAGTTCCTTGAAATTTGGGGACTTGGGAGTTTTCATTGTTTCAGGACAAGTTTTCTGAAGACGTGAACTATAACTGTAACTTGAGTTTTCCTGGGCCAGTTCTGAATTACCAGTCACTCAAATAAGGATAATTTGAGCAACAGCATGTCTTCAGTAATCTTTGAAAGGTCAGGTTGTTCGAAGGACTGAAAAATATTTACCAGAGGTGTGTTGCAAATAAAGTCAAGTCACTTGATCTCTATTCGCTTATCAGCACTGCTCTAGTAACATCTTTCTAGTTGACAAGACCTACACACAGCTGCCTAATTCTGGTCAAAACGAAAGTGGAATTGATGCAGCGTGGAGTACAGTAGCTTAGTTGGTGTTCATATTGACACATCTGTTTAAAGGAATGCTTAGCTTCTGGCCTAGCTACTGCTATTTCTGTCACATTCACTTGTTCAATAAATCACTAAAAGAAATTTGTAATCCTGTATAACATATTTTTCTTAATTCTTATACAAGATTTTTCTCGTCTTGCACAAGACTTGTCATAAGTAGTGCTGCAGTCTGAAACGGTGTATGTTTTCAATATTAGGTGTTTTCTACAGATTGCTTGATTCAACCAACAGAAGACAAATCACCCATATGCACTTCTCTGCCTATCCATGAGCATGTTACGGCTTGTTGGTTACCAAAACAGCCAGCAAGAATAGCAGTAATGCATAAAGATCATGCCTTTCATATGAACATCACAGTGTTGGATCTAGCAGTGAAGAAATCTAAATATAAATCAGAAATCCTAGGTATGTTTATAACTTGTCCTATTTATGCTTCATAACAGAGGATTCACTTTTTCCTATGTTTCTTCCTTGGGCCTCTTTACTAGCAATTAATACATTTCCTGCACTACAGTTAAGGATGCAAAACTCCTAATTAAGTCACTCTGGCTGGGGTTGGAGGCTTGACGATTTTGTTCAGTACAAAATCATTTTTTAATAAAAAGAATGTAAAAGATACAGTATTAGGGACTGAGGCTCCTCTTTGGCTTCCTAGTGGTTTCTAGTTCAACTTCAGGATGCTGATATTTGTAAAACACTTGGATCCTTCCAAACTGAAGACATCTGTCTTGCCATATTTTATCCAGTAGTCAAAGTAAACTGGGTCACACTAATTGCCAGACTTTCCTGGGAGGAAGCGTCTCAACTCTGGAAATAGTCTCCAGGACAATACACCACATCCAGTTGACCATTACAGCAGAGTTGTAAGTCTCTATTAAACTAAACGAGGGTAGAAGCACTATGTTTTCTAATTTTTGAGGAATTGGTCCTTATCTTGCATTTTGGATACAATTTTGTGTGTGTCTTAGAAAATTTATGTTTTAAGTTTTGTTTTGAAGGAGTAACAGCAGCACTGAAAGCAAGTTACAAAATTAAAGGGAATATTAACAAAACTGATAATAGAAGGTATTTTATTTCTGGTATCTCATTTGAATGTTCCACAGTAATTTGAGATTTCAAGGTTGGGGTGCTCAACCCCTAGTCTGGTACAAATCCAGCCTGCAGAGCTCCCACAGGTCTGGAAAACTGGTAACAGAGGAACAGTTGAAGCATTAATGTTCCCTGTTCCCTATGCTGCCAAATTTCCAGACCTGGAGGGAGCCCCCTGAGTGGGATAACATGGCCCTTCATGCCATACTGGGCTGGCACTGGACTGGATCAGGTGGCGTGCAAGTCAGATCAGAAATGAGCAGGTCTGGATTTGGGCAGCAGCAGCTGAATTAGGTAGCAAAGGTCCAATTTGGGAAGTGTGGGTCTGGACTGGGGCAGTTTATAGCTAGATTCAGCAGTGTGGGTCTGGCATGTGGCCAGAACTGGAGCCCCTGCTCTGGATCATGGCATGTGGGATCCAGTCTGTGGACCAACCCAAACCACTCATCTGGTTTGCAGAGGAACAGGTTGGGAACCACTGCTTTAAGATGAATCTGCACATCCACCCTGTGCAGATCATGGAACAGAATAGCAGCATCATGCTCAACAGTTGGGGGGGGAAACAGAGGGTTTCTTAACATTCTTTTTTCAAATGCAATAAATGTGACTGAGATGCAAATAATTGCAATACTGAAATCTTTAAAGGGGTATTTTTACGTATGTAATGTTGTCTTATGAAAAGCTCAACAGGTTACAAGATTCACATTACCAGAAAACCATTGGAACACGCACAGTCTCATGGAGGGGTATGGAACAGAAACCATTCTTATAGGATGTGGGTCAGTGCTGAAGTTATATTCAATCTCTGGGACTCAACTAAAATGTTTCCAGGATCATAAGGACACAATTACTTCACTATGGGTGGTACGTATCTCTATTGCTAATCATTCTTTTCATTGTTTGCTGTACCTTATCTTGACCATATATATGTATTTTTGTAACCTTAAAGGATTCTTTCCGTGTTGTCACATCATCCTTGGATCTCTCTCTCCGTGTATATATGTGGAAAAAAACAAACCAGGCTTGTGCATTACAGAGCCTGTATCAGTTACTAGGAGGATCTCATAAGTGGTCAAGGTAATGTTTGTTAATTGAACAACATGTAGGATAAGTTATGGTTTCCTCTTTAAGTATTCTTTACATGAGTATCTTTCTCCCCATGTTTGACTAAGCTGTAAGAGGGGGATGTTAAAACATGCAGCAGTCTGCACTCCAGCTTTGCTTCTCACCTACCCTGAATTTTCAGACTGTTTCACTAGACCAGTGATTCTCAGCCAAGGGTCTGCCACACAAATTTATACTCTTGTCAAAAGTGCAGATATGATTCATAAGATAAATGGATTGATTTCAACTAAGAATCCAGTATTTAAAAAAAACCCAAACCATTGTAACCTGTGTTGGTCTGCCCAAGTTCTTTGCAACCACTGCTGTATTATTTTTCCATTGTCAAAAAACAAATGAAAATTTAAGAACTGGCACTTTCTGAATTTGGCTTTGACTCTAAAAAGATTGAGTGCCACTGGTTTGTACCAGGGCTGTTAGGGTTTTAGTATGTCTGTCTTATGCAAATACCTGAAAACAACAGGTAGCTACCGGGTCTTACGTCTATGGAAAGCTTGCCTTATTTTACAATTTTGATGATTTTGGAAGATAATTTCTCGGGAATAATGCATGTATAAAAGGCAGAAGTCACCATTTGATCAGCAGTAGAAGTCCAGATTGCTGTTTAATCTCAAAACATTGTACTATACAAGAGGGATGCTCAACCTCCAGGCCAAGTGTGGCCTGCAAGGCTCCACCCCCTGCCAAAATCAGGAAATTTGGCAGCATGGGAGTGGTGGCAGTTAATATGACCACCCTTCCCAGCTGCCAAATTCTCAAACCCCAAGGGCCAATGCAGCAGGTTGGGGTCAAGTTATGCCCTCTTTCCCATGAGGCTGGCTCAAGCCCCCTTTGCCCTACCTCGTGGGGCCAGGTCAAACTCCTTTCCACCTGTGGGGAAGGTTGGGACTGGGCCAGGACACCTCCACCCCCTGTGGGGTGGGACTGAAGCAGAGATGCCCCCTCTTCCACTCTGCATGGCCAGATAGGGTCCTACCACAGAAGCCTCATTCCAGATTGGGACCAGCAGCTGGATACAGCCCACAGATGACCTGGGCACTGCTCATTCAGCCCACTGGCCAAAAAGGTTGAGCACCACTGCTGTACAGCAAAGTAAAATGAAGTTACTCACTGAGCTCTCTCAGATGATCAAACCTAAACAACACTTAGTGTTTTAAAGTTACCAATAGCTGTATGACTAAATTCAGTTATTACCAGAGATCCTGATTTTCTGTTCCCCATGGAAAAACAAAGAAAACCATGGATTTACCCTTTTTGTCAGAGAAAACGTGGGTTTCTCCTTTTACCAGAGAAACCCATGGATTCCTTGCTTTTGCAAACAGCTCTGCAGGCTCGTTGAGCTCCAACCTACAAGAGCTGTTTGCAAACAGGGCAGGAACCCCCCAGCCCTGCCAGAAAGATAGGGGCAGGAGGAAGGGCAGGGCTTGAGACTGCCAGCCACCACTCTGCCCAGCTCAGCTTCCCTCTTCAGTCCTAGTGCCTGTGAGGTAAGTGGGGCGTGCAGTTCATGGCGGGGGGGGGGGGGGGGG